CACTCCGATGTATCAATTATCTTTATGATGCGGGTGCAGCGAAACCGACGTCAGAACTGATGTTTTCTGGTTTTTGATATCACATTGAAGCAATTGTTGAAACGAAATATTGAACGAAAAATATTGGACACGTGTTTTTGCTCGGGAACGGAAGCTTTGGAATGTTTGAAATTTTAGTTTTGGATTTTTTGTGCAATATGAAAAATACATTCACAAAACCCAAAGAAATGATTCATCATCAACAATTTTTCCCACGAATTCTAACTTTGATGAGTGTAAAAAATTAATTCTTCAAATTCTTTGATCAATTATTTTTTTAAACAAGTAGCGCTTCTCCTTTTTTTAATTAATTGTTTATAATCGTGCTCATTGCAAAAAGCAGTATGACCGATGAGAATCATATGTCCCAACTTATCAGCAGCTGAATTTTCTTATTACAATACTAGGGGGTTTCGCCCCCCGCTCGCTTCGCTCGCTCCGCCCCTCTAACCATGTGACCGCAGCGGTGTGACCATACCCATAAATATCTTCCATATGAGCACCCCCTCATATAGACATCCCTTATAAATACAGGCACCTTCCCATATAGGAACCCCCGTATAGGCACCCAGCGTCCCCTGAATTTGAACGTCCTCTGAATTTTTCGCCTTATTTTTTTTATTTATATAGAGAGAAATGATTTGCTCGTGTTCTAATTCCTATGCTCACTGAATAAGATTTTAATCATGATTACAATTTAATTCACTCATCAATTGATTCGATGTGTCTAGTTTATTGTCTAGATTTAATTTGAGAAGTAAAAGTTGAGGGTCTACGATTTCCCACATATCCACGGTAGAAATTACCTTGAACCCACGGGAAAAAGTCCCGTATAACCTGCCAATTTTTATATAAATCAAAACAACGATTATCGACGAAAGGCTATCGCCTTCATCTTCAAATTAGGTCAAAAGCGCATCTATATAAATTGTTTAAGCTATCATTCAGTGAATTTATAGTACATTACGCAACTAGTGCGGAAAGCAGGCGGTTACTCACGAGGGCGGCGCAGCCGCCCCAGTGACACCGCCTGCTGTCCGCACGTGTTGCGTATACTATTTTATATGATAAGTGCGTGATGAAATTTGAGGGCGGCGGGGGGGGGGGGAAGCCCCCCACGAGAAAAAGGGTCCAGGGGGCGAAGCCCCCCCCCACTGGAGAAAAAAGATCACATTTATTTAAAAAAGTAATTATGAAAAAGTGTGATTGAAAAATTTCATTTTCGTTACTGAATTCTCAATGACTTATCACTAATTTCTAGAAATCAATCACCAAATTTCAGTGAAGTTTCGGTGAATTCTGTGACATGTCTCTGAAAAGCAAAAATAATTTTTCTCTGTATTTCCTTGACATTATTTTGATCATCACAATTCAATAAAGCCCTTAAGTTACAGTATTTGATCGAAGGAGTTTTTGGCGATCCTGCTGTTGCTTCATTGGAGAATATTTCATTTCCATTTTCTTCAAATGTCACATCACCAATCAACTCCTCCTCATCAGTAAATAAATCCTCCTCACTGAATAACTCTTCATCACTATCAGGAATTATACGATTTTGGCTCATTTTATCTGCTTCGAAAATCACCTTTTCATTTTTTAGTCATTCCATGTATTCACTATTCGGAGGTTAGATTTCCTTCCTTGTTATTCTCTTTTAATAGGTGATGCGCATGCGCGTCATGCGTTACGGTGTATGAGGTGAATTTGAGAGTGAATTTCTGTGGTTCCCGGTAGCTTAGTCGGTGAGAGTGCCCGGCGCGTATCTGGGAGACCCGGGTTCGATTCCCGGCTGAGTGAAATGGAAATTTTTTCTCTCTAAATTCTAATTCTCTTAGAATTTTTTTTCTTTTTCTTTTTTTCGGGTTTTAGGTTTTAGTTGAGTGTGGGTAGGCGCTTGAAACCCGCTACTTTCCAGTTGACTATAGCCAACTGAAACCCATGCGGTTACACGCACGTATCATATAAAAACATTTTTTGTTTAGATATTGTGGCACAACTATTTGTACTGATCATCAGGGACGTTTGACCTTCACTTTTGTTTTTCTCTTGCGGCACACGTGGAAAGCATTCATAATCGCCCATTTACCCTCATTTCTTCATGTCTTCATATTTCATAGTTGACACTATCTTCCATCGGCCATTAGAAATATTACCTTTCATTAAGCAACAATGACGTAAACTAATGGCGATATCAACAAGTGGAGACTAGTCTCTTATGCAGTTAAAATAATACGGGTAATTGACAATTTCCATTGCGAAAACGAAAGAAACAACTCCAACAGTATTTGAATCTGCAGTCAGAATCGATAAAAGAATGAATCAGTTCTATTTTGATACAATTTAATCATTCAATATTTCTTTGCCATTAGCAATATATTTTACAAGAGTTCACCGAACAAATTTTAGGAATCAGTTAATTTTTTTTAATTAAATGCGATTTTTAAATTGCTAAACAACCTTTAAGTTTCTGTAGAGGATGAACGGCCATTACAGATATCTCTCAGAGACAAAATGGCGTCATATCGTCTCCCTTTCAAAGGTATTAACCCAACTTCTGCTATTGTTGGACAAATAATGAATGCTCATATTCAACTACTGAAAAACAAATTTCCCCAATTGAAGTAACTCTGCTTGTCAATTCTTTCTGCTATACTCTGACAGAAGATTTCCCTGTCTCGATTGCGACCGTCTGATGGTAGATCACAAAGAAGCCGTTTTCGGCATTGGATGTTACACAATTTTCTAACTGATGCATTTTTATGATAGTTTGTAAGACCAAAATGAGGAAAGACATGGTTACCAAAATTTCGTTTCATATTTGATAATGATTAAGAAAATTCTTACTTGCAGAGAAACTGCATCTTCACGTCTCGGCTCGTCTCAACTCGACTAGTCTCGGCTCGTCTCGGCTCGTCTCAACTCGACTAGTCTCGGCTCGGCTCATCTCGACTCGTCTCGTTTGGTTTCTATGATTGTGTCAAATGTCTCGTCTCGTCCCATCTCATCTCGTTTCTATCATTGTCTCAAATGTCCCTTCTCGCCTCGTCTCGTCCTGTCTTTCGTCTCGCTTGTCTCGTCTCGTCTCGTTTCTATCATTGTCTCAAATGTCTCTTTTCGCCTCGTTTCCTCATGTCTCTCGCCTCGTTTGTCTCGTCTCGTCTCGTTTCTTCCAGCGCTTCTTTCCACCAGTTCCGGAAGGGCTAACAGGTGCACCACTAATCAATCTACAGCAGAGAGGATCACCACACTGAGTGTCCGAAATATGCAGCACTTTCAGAGTTTTCACCCCTTCTTTCGGGGAAAGGATAGGTTGAACGAGAGGTTTTTCAACAGGTACTAAGGAAACCCTCCACTCGTGCAGCGGATTTGCCACATAATGACATTGATCACCCATTATCAAGCTGCAGATTTGACTAGGAGTCATATCCACCTGCCACAGGATGTAGATGACTTCAGGCTGAAACGACAAACGGACATCCTTCTCTTCATTCGGTGAAAAGGGTTCATAACATTTTTAGACGACAAAGAAAACGCTGGAATTTTAGTTTTGAAAATGCAAATTGCCTATCGGCGGAGACGTAAGGCTTATATAAGTAATAATTGTGCGCTCACGAAAGACAACAAACAGGCGGATCATTTCTCATAATAATTGCGGTGCACCGTTTGACAGGTGACGATAACGACTTCCTAGGGCAGCCGAAACTGAGGTATAAAAACCAGTGGTGAGACCTTAGGGGTATCGTTCGTTTGTTAACTATCACCGAGACAAGTCATTATGGCTGTGCAGAAGTTGATCTTGCTTTTTCTACTGGTTGCTCTGATAGGAGCGATTGGGGCTGACGAGCGTACAGGTAAGCAGAGTTTCTGATCATAATTCTGAAGAAGGATTAAAGAATAACCGTGTGGAAAAAATATCGCCCCGGTGATTACATCTAAATTATATGTAACATATGTATGAGATGTATCTCCGATGTATTTTTGGCAAAGAAAGTCGTTGTTTCTCAAATTGGGAGAGTTGTTGCTGCTGCTGACCAAATGTGATTTACAATAACTTTGCAAAGGATGGCTGCACTGTGAGACCAATTTTTATTTGCTTCAACAGGTCAATGCAGTAGCAGCTACGAATGTTATTGGAAGGAGTGTCCAGGCGAAGATAACCCACCTTTCTGCTATGGCGAGAAATGCTACTGCACAAAACAAGCTGGGTAATTTAGTTCCCTTGGGGAGGAAACCGTTGGCAATGCCATCGCCTGAACGGAATTTTTTTCAAACAGAGCTTCATTAACTTGGTTGTTTCGATATTAGAACAGTTGCAGCATAATTGTAATTCAGCAAATCACAGATTCCCACGTTATTCGACAATAGTACATATGACAATGTCATTTGTATTTTTTTTTTTCACATAAATTATGTAATTTTGGAACATGTAAAATTTTTGGCAATAAACCGACATTGGAAGAGTTGCACGATTTTTTTTTCTCTTTGTAATCTTGTGTTTGGGACATAAATAAAATTATTTTTCAGTCAGGAACGTTCGAAATATTGCTCATTAATTAATAATTAATTGTGAAATATTGATAGCTTCAAGCACTTTGGAATGAATATTGTTGGAATTCATGCCTGAATACAAAAATTAATTTCTTAGTTTAGTTAAACATTTTCTCTTTTCCACCCAAACACTCAGGGTGACATTTATGGCTTTTCTTAGAAAATAGAGACGTGAAGAAAAACAGTCCTCATGGTGAGTCACAAAGGAGAGGCTGAAGAAAATTGAAACAAGGGCCTTTTGTCAAATGGGTCCAGAGAGTGAAAACTCTCATGACTTTTAGTTAGTCGTCCTAGAGACTTCGTTGGAGAAAGATATACCTTCTGCGTGCGATCATTAAAGAGTTTTACTTTGAAGAATAAAACTAATGTGTTTTTATTGAGTATTCCTACACATAATCCAATAAATATCTTCATGATTTTACGAAATTTTTAATTTTTTTGTGCAAAATTGGACTATCTCGTTTTACCCGCCCTATCCCATTTTGCCCTCCCCTCCCCTACATATTGTAGAAAATAATTCGTTCCGATTGCAGATAAATTATACTTTTTCTCAATCGCAATTAATCAACATTATTATTCGATAAAAAAATGAAAAATTTTGTTAGCCTGTTGAAAAACTTGATTGAAGAGAATATTTGGAATCGATGGCGATTTGTTGGTTGGGACGCCATTTTGTCTTGAAGATATCTCTCCAAGACAAAATAGCGTCAATAGTTGAAGACTCATCTCCGCAGCTGAAATAATACAGGAAATTGACAATTTTCATCATGAAAACGAAAAGAACAATTGCAATAGTATTTGAAGCTTTATTCATGAGTCGTTAAAGGAATGAATCATTTCTATTTTAATATATTTTAATCATTCAATGGTTCTTTGCCATTAGCGATACATATTACAAGACTCCATAAAACAAATTTTAGAGATCAGCTGATTTTCTAAAATCAAATGGTATTTTTTATTGATTTACAACCCTCAAGTTTCTGTAGAGGTTGAACGGCCATTACGGTTATCTCTCAGAGACAAAATGGCGTCACATCTTCTCCCTTTCAAAGGTATTAACCAAACTTTTGCTATTGTTGGAGGAATAATGAATGCTCAACCACTGAAAAACAAATTCCCCCAATTGAAGTACCTCTGCTTGTCAATTCTTTCTTCTATACTCCGACAGAAGGCTTTCCTGTCTCGACTGCGACCGTTTCGTAGATCACAGAGCAGCCGTTTTCGGCATTGGATGTCACACAATGGTCTAACTGATGCATTTTTATGATAGTGTCTGTAAGAACAACATGATAAACGACATGGCTACCAAAATTTCGTTCCATAATTGATAATGATTAAGAAAATCCTCACTTGTAATAAACATCAAAGATCTCTGTATCATCGATCATGCGATCAACCAGTCGATTCCACTCGGCGGGAAGAAGCGATGCCATCTGATACGCATCTCTGGCGCTGTACAACCTCCACCAAAACGGTGAATCGTAAAGATTAGCTTCTTCGAGATTCATGATCCAGGTCTCATGATCAACGACCTGCCTCGTCGACGACCCTTGATCATCGTCGACGTAATATATCCTGTATCCAGGATTGAGATTCTCATATGGCGTCACTGACGGCCCTACGTATGCTACACTGACTGGACGAGTGAGATCATCAGTGTCGTAGAACAATTCAAATTCGTCGTAGTGGGTGTGGCCGAAGAATTGTGCAGTTATTGTTGACTCATATCTGTGAAAATAATAATTTAATGGAAGATGTAATTGATCCAAACAAAGGAGAGACTGAAGAAAAACTCAAAATATCGTGATTGAATTTTCACTCATCATCAATTATGTTCAATCACCTGTTGATGATCCTGTAATAATTGGCAGACCAGACTTTGAGACAATCAGAGGTGCCTGGTGGTATGTGTCCAATGATGTGCACCTTCTCGCTTCTGTTCTCCGCCCCTTGAAGCTCATCAATCAGCCACTGGAGTTCATTAACCGGATCCTTACTATTAATCAACAGCCAAAAGTTCAAATTATTGCAGTAATTCGTGTTGACCGAAATTATTCGGAAGCCAGGTCTGACGGGCACCGAGTAGAAACCACCTTGCTTGATGGTAGTGGAGGCACTTGATGGTAGCCATCGTTGCCACTGCTCAGCCAGTTCATCGTACAACCAGGAGATGCTGTAATTGTCCGGTGCAGATGGCGATGGAAAGCTGTTCACCGGTGCACTCTCATGATTTCCCAGGGCCGGGAAGATCGAAGCATGTGGGAAAGCTTCAAGCATTTGACCTACTGTATCACGAAGATTCTGAAGGTTCTCTTCACGAGTTTGGTTCCATGAGTCGTGGGGCGGCAGGTCACCTGTCCAAATGATGTAGTCGATGTCCTGAAAGAACAGAGCATAATCCTATCTAGATTCAACAAGAAGGCATCACCAGAAGAACTCACGGGATGCGTATGCTGAATGTGTTGGAACATATGATCAAGCGTTCTCTTCGGGGTATCGCACTTCCTGTAATCACCCCATTTGCCAGCAGCTCCAGAAGGTCTAACAGGTCTGCCACTAGTCAATCTACAGCATAGAGGATCGCCACACTCTGCATTGGCCCCCTCCTGATAGTACGGATCATAGTGAGTGTCCGAAATATGAAGCACTTTCAGAGTTTTCACCCCTTCTTTCGGGGAAAGAATTGGTTGAACGAGAGGTTTTTCAACATGTGGCAAGGAAACCCTCCACTCTTGCAGCGGATTCGCCACATAACGACATTGATCACCCATTATCAAGCTGCAGATTTGACTACGAGTGATATCCACCTGCCGCAGGATGTAGATGACTTCAGGCTGAAACGACAAAAGGACATCCTTCTCTTCATTCGGTGAAAAGGGTTCATAACATTTTTAGACGACAAAGAAAACGCTGGAATTTTAGTTTTGAAAATGTAAATTGCCTATCGGCGGAGACGTAAGGCTTATATAAGTAATAATTGTGCGCTCACGAAAGACAACAAACAGGCGGATACTTTCTCATAATAATTGCGGCGCACCGTTTGACAGGCGACGATAGCGACTTACTAGGCCAACCGAAACTGAGGTATAAAAACCAGTGGTGAGACCTTAGGGATATCGTTCGGCTGTTAACTATCACCGAGACAAGTCATTATGGCTGGGCAGTAGTTGATCTTGCTTTTTCTGCTGGTTGCTCTGATAGGAGCGATCGGGGCTGACGAGCGTACAGGTAAGCATAGATTCTGATCATCATTCTGAAGACGAATTAGAGAATAACCGTGTGGAAAAAACATCTCCCCGGTGATTATATCTAAATTATATGTAACATATGTATGAGATGTATGTCCGATATATTTTTGGCAAAGAAACTTCTTCGGAACGAATTCATGGTCTTGGCCGATGTTTCTCAAATTTGGGACGTTCTTCTGGGCCAGATTTCGGTAGCTGCTACTGCTGATCAAAATGTGAACTAAAATAACTTTGGATGGCTGCACTGTGAGACCAATTTTTATTTGCTTGAACCTGAAGCTTAGGACCTGAATAACTCATTTTTTATTCACAAACGTTCGAAATTCCGCTCATTAATGAATAATGAATTGATAAAAGTTGAAGATTTCAAACGCTTTAGAATCGCTAATGATGTCGGATAGACGGTCGAGCGCTGAACCAATTACAGAATGGCTCGAGCCGACCTAACCCAATCTTGAGGTGCGCGTCGACCAATGGCGGACGGCAACTCCCCACTCTCTTCACACTCGACCAATGAAGCGTCACCTGACCGTCTTTGTGACGTCATAACCGAAAAATCGTCCTTGTAAACGCTTGATACTCAATTAATTATCATTAATCATCTAGACAATATTTCTACGTCTTGAAGAGTGCGGGAAAACGGGAATTTTTTTCGCATTTTCTACTTCCATGGTTCGGTCGACCTCAGTTTTCCATAAAGTCCACTATTGCCGATAACGATAATCGGAGGTTTATCGCAACAGCCGGCGAAATTCCCCGAGTGGCAATAGAAATATCGTGTCGCGAGGTAAAAAAATCAAGAAAATTGCACAATCTGCTGAAAATACCGAGACCATAAAACCGTGTTTCCCTGTCGTTTTGAAATGCGGAAATCGCTCACCGCAAATACTTGGTTGACTCCCTCGCAGACGCTCTCGCTCAGCTGCAACATGCAGACGGGCTTGATGTGACCCATCAGCTCTTCATCAGACAGGCCTGCTCTGATCTGCGTCTGCAGCAGGTTCACTCCAATTTCACAGAAAAAACACGATAACCCTAGATCCATTATCGTGCGTTTGAAACGGTGTAGCGGCGCGGATGCCGGATCCAGAAATCCATACACATCTGTTTCCACCGATCGTTGGCTTATCCCATCACGATCCTTCGTGTTATTTAGCTTAAATTTCAGATGAAAAATTATCCAAAACCATTTCATTCGCGGCATGTCTCGATGACTTATCGATATTATGATTATCGAGATATTTCTAATAAAAATGCATGATGTTTGCCGATTGTCCTTAATCATATTCAATTTTTTTCTCACCTGCAGCCAGTCATTCCGATCCGTGAAGTCTCTCAAAACGGATGCTTAAAAAAAACAAGTGGGAAATTCTTCTTGTATTGCGTATAGTGCAGTTATTTTTGTTAGGCCTAGTTGCACCGAGCCCTGTTAGCTATTTAAACCCCAGGATAAATTTATCCATGTATAATCCTTATGGACTATCAGACCGTTATCTGGCGGTTTAGTTAACAGACGGCGGTGCAACCGGGCCTTAATAAATTAGCAATATTCTTCGAATGGTTATTTAGCACATCATTCCTATCATGTATAATTCATTGTTTATTTCATTTTATTAAACTGAATAAGATTTCTTTTCAACTAATTTTGTCAGATTTTCAACTTTGCTGAATGGTATGATCATCATTACTTTTATTATCCCTTTCTTCTGTTCAACCGATTGTCTTTTTTACAGTTATCACTCCCCTCAGCCCTTCGATAAAACGTTTATAGAAAAATTTTATATAGACACTACGGGGCTACTCCCCCTGCTCGCTTCGCTCACCAACCCTCATATGACCCCCATTATCCTTATTCTGACCCTTGAGACCCTTACTCTTACCCTTGTGATCCTTACTCTGACCCTTATGACCTTGATTCTGAACTTCGCGGCCCTTATTCAGACCCTTATGACCTTGATTCTAATCTTCGCGCCCCTTATCCTAACCCTTATGACCCTTATTCTGACTCTTATGTCCTTGATTCTAATCCTTATGACTCTTCTTCTCACCCTCGTGACCTTTATTTTGACTTTTGTCATCCTTAATTGATCCTGAACCTGGTGACGCTTACCCTGACCTTTATGAGCCCTATTCTGACCCTTATGACCTTGATTCTAACCTTTGCGGCCCTTATTCTAACCCTTAAGACCCTTATGTCCTTCATTCTAACCCTTATGACTCTTATTCTCACCCTCGTGACCTTTATTTTGACTCTTGTCATCCTTAATTGATCCTCAACCTGGTGACCCTTACCCTGACCCTTATGAGCCTTATTCTGACCCGCATGACCCTTGTTTTGGCCCTTGTGACCCTTAATTTTGCAGTCTTAATTTCGAGTACCAAATTTTCATCACCAAAAGTCAATTTGGATTTTTATAACGACTTTGTCCGATACGCTACCGCGTATCTCGATATAGAGAGATACTTAAATGAATTTGAAACATCACATTTGAAGAAATCATCAAAAAGCTCACTTCCGGGAAAATTCGACATTTTCAACAATTATTATAAAAATCAAATTAACCAATATAGCTATCGTAATCACCTGTTAACTTCGACCTAATGACATTGAAACAACATTTTAAGTTATTATTGAATTCATTTGAAGCATGATATTCAAAGATGTCCCCGGAATTCTAATTTTCAAAAAATACAAAATTTTTGAAAAGTTGCAAACAAAATAAAATAACGATTATTGCTATCGCCTCCATCTTCGAACTTAGCCAAAAGGACATCCTAACAAATTTTTTAAGTCATCATTCAATCAAGTCAGAACATTTTTTTCAGTTATCGTGGAACAACCGATTTCCGAAAAAAATCGAAAATTAAAACAACTAATCGATGAACTAAATTTTAATTAATGGCGATCGATAGGGCTCAACAATACCTACATTTGAAAAAAGAAATATTCAATTCCATTCGTTCATTTAGCGAACAATTGGAGAAAGACAAAATTACATTTTCGGACTTTTTAGATCATACTGAGTCGATATGCCACAAAAAATCCAAAACTGAAATTTGAATGATTACAAAGCTTCCATTTGGAAGCAAAAAAAGCATTAAATCGCCGAGGGCATGAATCAATGAATAATTTCAAACAGGAAATCTACGTCAACAGCAATAAATGTGTTCCTCACCTGACGTATTCCGCGGAATGATCACGAGGCTCAGAATGCTGACGACGAAGCTCCATCGATAATCTATCATCCTGTCCCTAACACTATATCCGGTGTTACCTGAAAAAATGATGAGTCGAACCGTCAAGTTACGCACCACGAGCTTTTATTCTGCAACTGCTCGCGCTTCATCCTTTCACTGCCGAGTCAATGTCACGTCTGAAGAGAAAGTAAATACTTACGTCTGGTATATATTTGTTTTTGTTTCGGCACGAAGATTCCCTAAGTTACTTCTAACTCACGCGGAGATAGAATACGTACTGAATGGAAGAAATATTTTATCGTCTTTTTTATCGTTAATGACTTGGTCATTGTGATTTGAAAGCATGAGAATGTCGACTTGTGAATGCTGTCGGTTCATTTTTTTTCTAATACTAGACATTTTGAAAATTAAGAAAGAGAATTAGGGGAGAAGGAAGAGTGAAACTTCAATGAATAATTTTTAATCTTCGATTAATTCCTTTTTTTACGTTTTAAAATAATCTGATTAAAATCTGTAATGGTTGAAAAATGAGGGGAGGGTTATGAATTGATTTCCCAGAAAACTGAAAAAAGTTCTTGAATTCTTCGGAAAATTCTAGTTTTCCAAATAACCGTAGCTCTTCAAAGATTTTTTTCGAATTATTTGGGAAACCGAAGAATTTTCGTGAATTTTGTAGAGTTTAGAATTTAAGTATGAAAATCTGAGAAGCAAGAATTGATCATTTTGGCGTGTGATAAATATGAAAAAATTAAAATTTGGGAAGTGAAGAATAATTTGTGAGTTAAAAAAATTTAGAAATACTGTTTTTTTTCTCATGATCAACAATTAGGCAATTTAGACATGTTTTGATATAAAGATCAACTTCACACATGAAAAAATGAAAAATATGACGCAGACAAAATTTTTGCCATTTGAAGAATTTGAAAACACCGGGGATTTTTTTCAGCGCCTACTTCACGTGACTCATTGACCAACCAGAATTGAGGATTAGCGGTAAGGCAGTTTCGAGATATTTCGATATAAAACAACTTCACGTTTCTTTCATCTTTGGTATAAGGGAAAAAAAATGTGTCCGATATCGGTTTTTTGTCGGAAAAGCGCGAAGCGACTGATGAGCCGGGTTGGGTATCTGTCGATAACCGCATTTTTTTCCATGACACTGTAAAAAAACCGTAATTGCCAGGCTTCAACGGGAGTATCTCTGATAAACTGACCTGAAGTGAACTCCTCGATATCTTGCAGAGAAATGCGTGCTTAGTATTCCCAGGGGGTGTCCTTTCCTTGCCAACACTCGCCTACGAATGCCAATAATGTATTATCGGGCGGTTTTCACGGAAGTCATTCGTCATGACCCTAATAATTTTGAGTTTCAATGGATTTGACATGGGCCTGGCATTCCGGGAACTTGACCCTTAGGCGTTAACAAACGATTCTCCGTCACGGATGATCCTTCTATTATCCTTTGGGGGATATTTCTTGATGTGAAAATTTTCGTCGGTGAGAAATTTTCGATTTTTCCGAATTTCTCGAAGGATTGCGGGAGGAGAGGGTAGGGAAGGTGTGCCTGCACCTAAGGGGAAATGCCAGTTTTATATTTTATATATCAACTTGAGTATAAAAAACGTATTTGTGAGACTTCTTTAACTATTGAACTCGTTATTCTCGAAGTGTAGACGCCTAATTCTCCTTAGAATCCACAAAATTGATTGAAAATAAAAGAGAGAGCCTATTGGGCGGTACTACCCGCCGTCGAGTAATACCGCTCGGCACGATTCCAATGCCGCTCATAGGGTTTTGCGTGTATCGCTCGCGCTGCAACCTAACCCGTACTCGAGTGCTGTCGAGCAACTACGTGGCCGATCCTATGAGTGGTATTACCGGCTTCGCTCGGCGTCAACAAAATTGTTGATAATTATTGACATGAGTGGACTTTTGAGTTCCAATTGGTCTCAAATTACGCGTGAAAGTACCACGAATCAAATAACCACAGTTTAATATGAGAATTCAGCGTTTGAAACTATCAAAAACCTTAATTAAAAGTCCACAAATTTTGTACTGTAAAGACCTCAAAACTACGGTACGTGTTTTTTCGGGTTAAGGTCACGATTCCCGAATGGGGAATATGGAGTGTAGTAACTACCAAAACTTAATTCCTTAGAATTCGTTAATGTATCCATCACTGTTGGAAGGATAAAAATAGTCGAGCATCTGGTTACTTTCTATTGCGCACGATGGATAAAATTTAGTCGACTTGAGTGGATAAAAATTATTTTTTCGTGAGAAGATCTGGTAAACCGCGATTCTAACCTCGCTTCGCTCGGTTTGATCGCGGTTTACGGGCCTTCTGACGAAAAATTGCATTCATCACACGGTCCAAAAGTATTTTCTGACGAATGTGATTATTGAAAGCCACATTCGTCAGAAAATACTTTGTGGACCTTGTGATGAAAATAACTATTATGACAGTATAATAACTAACCGGATAACAATAATTTTTATCTTTCTCATGCAGATTATTTGTTTTGATCCATATAAATTTTGATAAATATATCATCAATTTTTTATTGTGTGGTGAAAATTATCGTCCAGTAGGATAAAATTTATTTTACTTATAATAAATTTTATTATTTAATATCAATTTTTGATAAACGTCAGAATAAAGATCCGTGAAAAGTGAGTCATAGTATACTTTTATCCTACTGGAATGATAATTTTTATTAAAAATTTCTCTCCGTGTAGGGTTTTTCTAATTTATCAACTGCTGTTCCTCACACCAGCAGATAGTAACATATCGATCGCAGATGCCGTTCCAGTCACGCGAAAAAAAATGTCAGTCGACATTCATAAGCCCTTCTTCCACTTACGAGGGATTTCCATTGTTGTCAAGAGTACATTCAGTTTAAAAACGCGTGTGAAATCTCCAAAATATGAATTAAATACTTACGTATCTCACTGTTATGCTTGCCTCAGGGGTCCAGTGACCGATGGACACTGGGGAATTATGCTGTTGTATGAGAACACTCAGCCATGGGGAAGTGGCTCTCATGGCATGAGGAAGGTCAGGAATAATCCGGATTGTTTGTTTATGCTCATCGGTTGGTGGATTTTATACGCAATTTATGACAAGTGCCTTCATGTGAGTTTTAATTGGAATTATCGACTTTTTGTTTGTTATGTATTTTTTAAAATTTTAAAAATATATTTTTAAAAATAATTTTTGTTATTATTTAAAAGTGTTTAATTAATTCATTTTTGTATAATTTTTTATTTAAAAAATTATTATAAAACTTTTATAAATTTTCGTATAAACATTAATAAGTTTTATTTTTATAAATTTTTGTATAAAAATTTATAAATTTTCTACTTTTTTAAATAAAAAACATTCAACTTAATTTTTCCATGATTGATTCATATTATTAATGATTGATTATCAATAATTAACAAAATTATGTAAGTTATATCATTATTATTAATTCATCTACTTTCATGTTTATTTACATTTTAGTACTGATTTTGATAGAAAAAAATTGAATGAATATATTGAAATATTATTATTATTATTTAAATTTATTGATACATTGATTATTATTAAATAATTAATTAACGTGATTCATGTAGGTATTAACAAATTAACGAATTTTTTTATCCATCATTAATTATTGTTGTTAATGAGTAATTATTGATTAATTAGTAATAATTATCAGTTGTTTACAACTCATAACTATTAATAATTAATAACATTATGTTAGTAATATCATTTTAATGTCATTATTACTATCAATTTACAAATGTTTATATTTATTTATATTTTATAATTATTTTTTTTTAGCATTTTTAAAAATCATTATTATTATTATCATCATTTATTGATGAATTAACAGGATTAATTAATTAATTAAATTATTCAATTGCATTGAATAAAAAAAATTACCATTCATTAAAAATTTCAATAGGTATTTTTTAATGCAATAATTTTTTTTTGCAGTTACTACTCCGTCGTATGCACTATGGAGTAATAAAACGCAGAAGAATAATCGATGCCCTGTGGTGCACAGGTTTCACACTCCTGAGTGCATTCTACTTGCGATTTTTCGTGCCTAAATCCGTCGACAGTGCTTGTATTTTTCAAAAACCCAGATACCTGGAGCTGGGAATAACATTTCACAAGAGTTTTTATTTGCACAGAGCGGGAGTGGAGATTGTTTATCATGGGGGTTGGCTGAGGGGATGGACAACACTCATGTTTTGTCTGATTATCCACAGTTCATCGCAACTCAAGTAAATTAACAATAAGATTAATAACAATAATCGAAAAATGAAGGATTAAAATTGCAGGAAAAATTTGTATTTTATCAAAAATAATTAATTATTGATAATAATTGATCAGTCATCAATTAATTATTCTATGGAATTGTTTAATGAATATTTAATATAACAATAACATCGGTTAATTGTTTAATAATTAATGATAATTAATTATAAAAAACAAAGTAATTATTCAAATTGAAAATTAAATCATGACTGAACCATAAGAATTTGATTTTTTAGGAAAAATAATTGATTATTAATAATAATTAATTAATAATTTATCAATTAATTGATATTAATTATTGCACAGAGCGGGAGTGGAGATTGTTTATCATGGGGGGTGGCTGAGGGGATGGACAACACTCATGTTTTGTCTGATTATCCACAGTTCATCGCAACTCAAGTAAATTAACAATAAGATTAATAACAATAATCGAAAAATGAAGGATTAAAATTGCAGGAAAAATTTGTATTTTATCAAAAATAATTAATTATTGATAATAATTGATCAGTCATCAATTAATTATTCTATGGAATTGTTTAATGAATATTTAATATAACAATAACATCGGTTAATTGTTTAATAATTAATGATAATTAATTATAAAAAACAAATTAATTATTCAAATTGAAAATTAAATGATGAGGACTGAACCATAAGAATTTGATTCTTTAGGAAAAATAATTGATTATTGATAATAATTAATTAATAATTTATCAATCAATTGATATTAATCATTGCACAGAGCGGGAGTGGAGATTGTTTATCATGGGGGGTGGCTGAGGGGATGGACAACACTCATGTTTTGTCTGATTATCCACAGTTCATCGCAACTCAAGTAAATTAACAATAAGATTAATAACAATAATCGAAAAATGAAGGATTAAAATTGCAGGAAAAATTTGTATTTTATCAAAAATAATTAATTATTGATAATAATTGATCAGTCATCAATTAATTATTCTATGGAATTGTTTAATGAATATTTAATATAACAATAACATCGGTTAATTGTTTAATAATTAATGATAATTAATTATAAAAAACAAATTAATTATTCAAATTGAAAATTAAATCATGACTGAACCATAAGAATTTGATGTTTTAGGAAAAATAATTGATTATTAATTATAATTAATCAATAATTTATCAATTAATTGATATTAATCATTACTAATCCATGATAAAAATTAATAAAAGTTGATTTGAAAATTTTTTAATGAAATGTTAAAATTGAAGTATAAAAATTTAATATTCGATGAAGAATAATCAATTACTATTAAATATTAATAATTAAAAATTATTAATCTTCAACGAAAAAACAATGTTTCTCCTGTTTATTTCTAGCGATTAATATATATTTCTTACAGGTGGTTTGATATTATAATGAATTTACTATTCTTCAAAGCCACCTCGACCTCGATGCTCAACATCTGCCGGATTTTATCAACAATAAGAACGAAAAAAACATCAACTATTGTTAAAATATTGCTGGGGATTTATTTTGTAAATTTGTGAGTTATCATTTTTTTTCACAAATTGAAAAACAAATTTTCTCCCCTTTTTGTTCATTATTTTACATTACATTTATTAATTGTTGTTTAATTATTTACTTGTTTGAAGTAATAATAAACAAATAATTATTGTTTAGGGTGTACGTCCACACTCTAGTCGTACCTGATTTCACTCTGTGGAACGCAAGGGGCCTTAAGAATGACGTTGTGACTCTCATTTGCATGTGGCTGTGGCTATTCCTTGAATTTCTGAATGAAGTGAGAACATTAAAAATTACCCTCGGACGACGAAAAATATGAAAATACACTAATTCAATATTTTTCGGAAAATCGTTGCTTTTTTTTTGTAGGTGAGGAGTATCAGGTTGGGATATTTGAACGCCGATAAATTTATAAATTCATATTTATTCGTTCCGCCGTCCGAAGGGTCCATCCAATTGCGTGAAATATGTAAGAAGTTGAGGGAATCCTCGAGTGATAAAATACCAGAGGATATTGACAGTAAAAAAAGTGCACAACTCTGGCAAACATTATCTTGTAAGTATTTTTCATGCACTAACGAATCAAATTTAATTATATTTATTAAGGGGGAAAGCGGGTCAAAATGAAACATCATGAACATTTTTATTTTCAGTTGAGGCTCAAAGGGTTTTGGGGGTTAAATGGTCTTGAGGGTCAATGAACCTTTAAGAACATTCAGATTTAAGGGTCAAATGGGCCTAAGGGTCCAACAGATTATAGCAGAGTGATCAGAAAGGGTCATTTGACCCTTAATTCTGCGTGTCTTCAAGTGTCATTTGCACCTTAAGACAATTCGACCCTCAACTCCAAACGTTCTTACGGGTCATTTGACCCTCACGATCCTCACTCTCTCTCTACAAAGGAAGATATTGTCGACAATTTGGCTTTAGTTAAGGGTCGAATAGCTTTGAGGGTCAAACGAGTCTCGAAGATGTTTGGGGTTGAGGGTCAAACATCCTTTAGGAACGTTCAGGGTTAATGGTCAAATAGTCTTAGGCGTCTAACGTGTTAGATGCAGGCTGATCATTAGAGACTCCTTCAAGGGTATTTTAACCTTCAACTCCAAATGTTCTTCTCAAGAGTCGTTTAACCCTCACGACCATTTGACCCTCAGCCCCGAACGTAATCAAGGGTCATTTGACCCTCAACTAAAAACAAAGCAAAAGGCTCAACATTTTCCTTCACCTGTGAGTCAAATGGCTTTGAAGGTCAAACGACCCTTGACGACGCTTGGGGTCGAGGGTCAAATGGTCTTGAGGGTCTAACAACCCTTAAGGGTGTTTGGAGTTGAGGGTCAAGTGGTTTTAACGGCCACAAAGATTAGAGAAGTGTAATCTGAAAGGGTCATTTGACCCTCAACTAAAAATTTAAAAACAAGTTTTCTTAATATTTAGTAGTAGTCGTTTCTCCTGTTTCATATTTGAAATGAATTAATTTTATCCTAGGTGCGATGATAATGAAGAAAAAACTCAAGAGACTCCGAGCGATGAAGGAAAACCTTTCCCCTTCAGCCACGTCATAACTGCCTTAAAATCATCAATTTCATCATCAGAATATCGAAATATTCACGAGAAATGTCTTTTGATCTTTTCTCCAAACATCGCTCATCATCAAGATATTATTATTCTCATGACATTGATATTTGACTAAAAAATCAACTCTTTGAATTTTTATCGTTAAATATTTTTATAATTGTGTATTCACTTCGTAAACTATAAGTTCCATGAAAAAAAAAAACTCATGAAAATTGTCTTTTTCCATTTTACCAAAGCATTATCATGATACAAACATTTCATGCATTTTCAACTTTTTATCCAATAATTTATGTAAAATTATTTATAAATTTGAAATAAAAGGATCCAAATGATTGCTTTTCATAATAAAAAAAAGATTGATTTCAAAACGCTCAGATGACCTTGAATGACGTCACAACTCCGGTCCCTCAACGCCATCTCTCGTTGAATTTTCGTCTTGAGAAATTGAATCGGTGCGGTCAAGAGATATGAGGCTATGTGGTTTTGGTATCAATTGGAGCATTATTTCATACAATGTTATGAAAAAAGGAGTAAAAAATGAATGATCACCAGCGATTAACCTCATTTTATTATCAACAACAAAGTTTACGGAATTGTGACGTCATCACCCCCTCGGCGCAATAGCTTTTGATAATTATTATTGAATTAACGAAATGATAAAATTTTAATGTTGGGGCAATGTTGGCTACCAACGTTGGGGCAATGTTGGTTATCAATGTTGGGACAGTGTTAGCTGTCAACGTTGTGGCACTATTGGTTGCCAACGTTGGCGCAGGGTTGGGTTTCAACATTGGGGCAATGTCGGCGACCAACGTTAAGGTCATGTTAGCTGCGAACGTTGGGACAATATTGGCTGCTAACACTGGCGCACTGTTGGCTGCCAGTATTGGGACAATGTTGGCTGCCAACGTTCAGGTAATGTTGGCAGCCAACATTAGGGCAATGTTGGCTACCAACTTTGTGGCACTATTGGCAGCCAACGTTGGCGCAGGGTTGGGTGTCAACGTTGGGGCAATGTCGGCGACCAAAGTTAAGGTAATGTTGGCTGCGAACGTTGGGGCAATGTTGGCAGCCAATATTAGGGCAATGTTGGCTACCAACGTTGGGGCAGTGTCGGCTGCCGCGAGGCGGGAGGAAAATGTGTACTTTGCGCCCGCCCGAGCGAAAATTGTATGAAACAACCGTATTACAATAATATTTTGTAACTACCACCGTCAACCCAAATAAATTAATCAAAAAAATTAATTAATAAACTTCTCAATTGCATTTTCCCCCTCCCCCCCTCAATCTCCCAAATAAAACCCTCAATTAATTAAACTTCGTCATCAACTGCAACTCGGTTTCACGAATGAAATAAAATAATCAGGAAAGTGAATGGGAAAATAGGATTGAATTTTCATTCGTAATGTCAACGCTATTACAAAAATCAAGTTTATTCATTCAATTTATAGATATACACCTGTTTATGTAGAAATTTCTCACACCATTTTATTATTTTCTTTTATTTCATTTTCATATTTTATCCTGTATTAATAATAATTTTTTTTATTCAATCAATGGGGCATCGTGCCAATTGCTCTTACCGTTACTTAGAATTTTTACTTTTTTTTTTTCGTTTTTACGTGAATTTATTGAATAACCCTAGAGTCTACGATTCACCTGGATTATTCATACTTCAGTTGGCTTGATGCCCCAGTAACATAATTTATTCATCAATTTCATTAGTTTATTTTTCATTAGATGCAGCACGAGGCATTTATCTGCAGTATTCGGTTTTTATAATTTTTTTTTCTTCATTTTCTTTTCGCTTTTTTTATGTTCATGGGGCAGGTCAGTTGGAGAGTTACGACGAATCTCTTATCTGTATTCGTTATTTTCTTTTTCTCTTCGAACATTTAGTCGTTATTCTTTAGTCCTTAGGTATATTCGTGCTATAGACGTTATTATGAAATAGTGGAGTTCAGGGCTAGTGCCATGGGGTTTTTTACTTGTGTGAAGTTGGCGAGCAACTACACCGGCTGTCTCATGCTATATTGTTTTATCAGAAAATGCCTCTACCTGAGAATTTATTTACGCAATGATTGACCTTCAGTCTCTGTCATTTGTTGATTTTTTTCGTCACTAGGCCCGATAAACCGCGATTTTAACCTCGCTTCGCTCGGTTAAATCGGGGTTTTCGGGCCTAGTGACAAAAAATATTGTTCGACACACGGCCGTGGGAACTTTTCTACCTCATATGATTACAGAACTCGCCTTTGGCTCGGATTATAAACCCACATTCGCCAGATAATGCTTTTATCGCCGTGTGACATACGATATTTTACGCCGTTGGGCCCGAAAACCGCGATCTGACCGAGCGAAGCGAGGTTAGAATCGCGGTTTATCGGGCCTAATGACATAAAGTTCCTCACGGCCTAGTGTCAAAATGTACTATTATGTTACTAGGCACCATAAATGGGCCCGTAACAGAAAATAGTTTACCTCACACGGTCCATAAAGTATTTTCTGACGAATGTGATTATAATTTTTTCATTCCGGCTAATGACGAAATATATTATTCTGTGATACCTGTCTCAAAAGTGCACTTTCCGAAAGGATCTAGTGTGCGTAAAGCGGTTGTTTTCCACACGGCGTGCGTAAAGTTCAAGAGCGTGCGTAAAGTGAATTTCGAGCTTCGCTTTTACTCACGAGAATTCACTTTACGCCCGCCCTGCGGAGAGACAACTGCTTTACGCACACTAAACCGTTTCGAAAATTACATTTTTCAGGCAAGTATCACAAAATAGCTATTTTCGTCACAAGGCCGAGAATAGTATATTGTGCCCCTAGGGAGTAAAAGTATTTTCTGACGAATGTGACGTTATAATCACATGAGTCAGAAATACTTTTACTGCCGTGTGGCACATGATATTTTATGCCTCGAGGACTGAAAACTGCGATTTAATCGAGCGAAGCGAGGTTAGAATCGCGGTTTTCCGTCCCTAGAGGCATAAAAAAATTTTCTGACGAGCGTGAAAGTTGCATGGGAATGAAATCACACGAGTCAGAAAAGTTATTTTCAGCCGAGTAATAAACATAATTTTTCTTCACAATATCCTTGTCCGAAAGTGTCCGTAAAACGACGTTTTACGGACAGTGTGATGAAATATGTAATTTTATATCATCCCATTCCCTCTTTTTTTGTTTTTTCTTCATCATGCCTAGTTTGTGTTTTGCGAAACTGTCACACTATGTGAATGAATTTATTTTGGCGACTCGAAGAAGTCCCCTGCCAAACTAAAACCTTGTATTACAATGTGTAGTGGTTAAATAAATGAAATTAAGTGAAATATTCCCGTGGAGCCGAAGGCGAGGACTTGCCAACCACGCGAGCGAAAAACCCCATGGGACTAGTCATAAACGATATTTTCCCCTAGTGATTTTCACTTTTACGAGTTTGGGGAAGGGCCCACGCCAATCCCCCGACGAGGAAAAGTGAAGAGCAGTACGGAAAATTGTTCTTTTCCTCTGTTATTTTTTTTCTTTCGTTGAATGTATTTTTTTGCTAGTTTTGGGATGGTGAGCACAGTCCGACTCTCGTTGCGTCATTAAGCGGTTTATGATCTTGTGGGGGTCGATATTTTATCGCTAGAAGCCGTTCGGGGTTGATCGGTTTTTTAACACCCAGAAAAATTGGTATTTTTGAGGCATTTTATTTCTATTCCGAATTTTTTTGCGATGGAGGAAAGAACTCCTGGTGTCAAAAATTGTCAGGATGATGGAGATGATTTAAATAACAAAATTTAAATAACAAAATCATTGCAAAATGTTTGGAGACCTGGGGTAAAATGGAGGATTTAACGAGCTAAAAAAAATCCCAAAAACAATTTAAAAAACGGCTAGACCATTTTTTCTGGGTGCTTAAAACCCACATATTCTCTAAACACGAAAAAAAAATTCTCCACTCTCCCAAGTGTATGTACATTCAACTATGGCAGTAAATACTGAGAATAGTAATTTATGGCGAGTGGTATTACAACTCCATCCTCCGAAAATCTCACAATTATCCTTAATGAATTAATTTCTTGATTAAAAAATTATTCTTGAGCAACACAACTATTCGCTTTCTCTCAATTTTCCTAACGACAAGCAGCTGCAAGCGATGATTTTTTATTCATAATTTTTTTTATATAATTTCCGTCATACGGCTGCGAAAATTGGGAACTTGATTTTTTCAGTCCAGGATCATAACCTCGATCAATCATTCTCCGTCAGAAGGAAGTCAGAATTTTTTATTTTTTATTTAAAAAATTTTATTTCGTCTTTGACATGTCTGATGACGTCACAAGGCCGGATGTGAGCGTCTAGCCAATGACAGGGCGCGGTTGAGGGCAGCCTAACCTAATCCGAGCGCCTCGGCCAATGAGGGATTACGGCTCCTCCCACTCGGCCAATGGGGACCTTCGCCTCCGACTTTGTGACATCCTAACCTATAAATTAACCACGAAATACAATTTTTGATGAAAATGATTGGGGGAATTGAACAAATCTGAGCTCAACGCAAGTTCCCATTTTCGTTCAGTTGCTCCAGGCCGATTACCCCCTCGAATAATTCTGAATAATAATTTTTATCGAGCCTATTCGGATGTTCATTCACTCGGATATGTTGGGGACACGCATGCGAAAATAGAATAGACACGTGAGTATTTTTTTTTCTTTTCATTTCTTCCTCATAATTAAATTATCGATATACATGATTGCGTGACAATTACGCAGGTTTAGGTATCACTCCTATTTCGAGCTTTGGACAATGGCGATTTTCATAATTTTATCGGCGATTTGGTAATTAATATTAATTATTGATGAATTGATTTCCTGATAGAATGATCGAGAAAAAATCATTGAGACTAATTTAGGAATATCTTGGAAACTGTTAAGTTGGGGAGAAAATGTCATAAGAAATGTTTTGTAGAGAATTTTATACACTATAAAAAATCTTTTATGACATTTTTCTCTGAATCCCTTAGTTTAGCAGATTTTGGCATTTTTCTTCGGATAGTTCAGAATAGGAAACTTGCATGAATTTTTTTTAATTTTCCAATCTCAAGTTGGGACCTGAATAATTCATTTTTCATTCACAAACGTTCGAAATATTGCTCATTAATTGATAATTAATTGTTAACAGTCGAAAATTTCAAACGCTTTGAAGTCGCTAAAGACGTCACATAGACGGCGGAGCGCTGGACCAATCACAGAATGGCTCGAGCGGACCTAACCCAATCATGTCGTGCGCCTCGGCCAATGGAGGACGGCAACTCCCCACTCCCTTTACACTTGACCAATGAAGCGTCACCTGACCGTCTTCGTGACGTCATGACCGAAAAATTGGTCTTGAAAACGACGATTTCTCCATAATTTTCGCGATTTAGCTATTCATAGGTTATGAAGAAAGTGTGAAGAGGGGAATTAGCGAGGGAATTATTGAGAATGAATCACGAAGTAAAAATATCGCCGAGAAAATTATGAATAATTTCAATTACCTCATATTAAAAATCTTCATCCCGAAGACATTTTCCTTATAAATTCGCGTGGTTAAAAATGACAAGAGCGTTATTTCAGGGCTATTAAAATAAATTCGCAGTTTTAACGCCGTCTAGTGGAAGGTAATAATGCTTGCTTACTCGTAATACCATCAATGTCTTATGGTAAATGGTTTTTTTTTCACTTAATTTTTATTTTCTTCACTTGGAGTTTAAACTATCACTGTGCTTAGGTTTTCTTTTCTCCCGTTAAACATTTAAATTGTCCTTAATTAATCTCATGCGTTACATAATCACTCGTTCATACACTGGAACAACTAAATGTCTTTATCACTAGTTGAATTTTTTTAATCGAGTGGCAAAGTAAAAAATCACGATTTCATTCTCTCGACTTTCAGTTTTTGGGCAATATCTCGAAATCCATGGGAGATACCGAAATATTCGTCATAACATTTTTTGCAGGTTTTAAAATTGTCCACAAAAAGGATTCTAACCAAAATTTTTCTGTCTCCCCTAGATTTCGAGATATTCACGAAAAACTAATGATGAAACTAATTTTCCATTAACGACGAAGTAAAATGATTCCCACTAAATTCTCTATATCTCCCGACCAAACGAACCGATTTCAAAAAGTCAAAATTCATTTCAAAGTTGAAAAAAATTCCCTCAAAATGGCGTCAAATTTTCCCAAATTTACTCAGCCAATCCCGAGTTACAGCCAATGAAAACTTGGTCATCATTTCAATTCACTTTTTATTAAATATTTCTTTCTTCTTCCACTCAATTAAAAAAATTAATTATCCCCCAAATGAGTCATCATCATCATCATGAATCTCATAACATTAATGAACTACAAACCGGTCATTGTAAAATCAACAGTACAAAATTACGTAGGCGACAAATGATTGAAATCATTTCCACTTATAATTCTAAATCCGCGAGAAAATACTGATCTACGAAATGTTTCATCATTCCCGGACAATTAGACTCGTTTATTCATCAAACCCAAATGGATTAATTCATTTTTGCATTGAGGAAGACCGTAGAAATAATGGAAAAACCTAAAATCACAATAATTTCACTTAAACACTGAATTATTTAAGTTCTCACACTCCCCGTGGCATTGTTAATTAATCTCATTAATTAATTCACTTCGTTAAAATCTATTCATATAATATATATTTATAATATTTATAACCACGTTATTAATGGTGGTAATGGAACAAATTTTTTAATCTGCGGATAATTATCTCTTATTACAAACATATACGTATGAGCAATAAAACTTTTTCTCATCTCTCTGGACCATTTCTTCCTCATTCGAGATGACGATAACGATTTTTTCATTGATAGTATTGGGTAGTTGTATGTTCTTTGATGATAAAAAATTGGAGATAATTGTGAATAGGAGATTTATTGGGGAAATGAAGGGGTGAAGGGAGTGAGACGGTCAGAAAATTTGATTGAGATTCTTTTGCGAATATCTCAGAAAATAAGGGGGTGGAAGGAAATGCTATAAGACGTTTTTTGTACAGAATTTCATAGGCTACAAAAAAGATAGAGAGGTATTTTTCAATAAGACCACTTGTTAACGAGATATTTTGGAATTAATGAAGGCAGTTTTTATTTCGTTTCGAGAAAAATCAAGATGATTGTTTTTTGTTAAGAGTTAAATTATCTCGGTAATGAGTCAATTTAAGAGAAGAAGTTATAAAAGATCTTTTGTTGAGAATTTTCTGAGCTATAAAAAAGTTCTTATCACATTTCCTCGTAAACCCATCGGTTCCTGAGATACGAAACAAAATGTATTGATGAAATTTTCTGATTTGTCTCGTTTCAGCAATCGCCAGTGAAATTGTTTGATAAAAACATTTGTTTATTCATTTGGGAACAAAAATAGATATTTTTAATCCGTTCTGATCAGCTCGACGTGACCTAGAGGAAGAATCGACCCAGCCCAATATATTTTATTCATCTGCCTCAATAATTCGATGCAGACATTTAGAATTTAATGTTGTGACGTTCGCCCTTCGTTAATTATTTAATTAGTTCATTTTTTATTAATCTCTTTGTTTCTTTTTTTGTGAAAATATGGCCCCTTTATTACAGGCTCGATGTAATTGTTTTTTTATTTACGTTTTTTTAAAACATGATTTTGGTGAGGATATTCAAGATTGAAAGTTCCTGCAATGAAATTCTTTCAAAAAAAACATTTTTGGGGGTTAAAATGATGACTTAGTTGATAAATAATCCTTTGTTTTTAATTTACATTGATTGTCTATAGAAAATGATATAGGATTTTATAGGATATTCTAGGCAATGGATAACTCTACAGACATTTTATAGACCCATGAGTCTATAGAATGGATTCTGGAGTCGGGAATCTCTAGAATTTCTATAATTCTATAGACTCTATAGATTCACGATTTTATAGAATTCCACTGAATTTTCAGAATTCTACAATTCCTATTTTTTTCAATTTCACTTGCTGTAGGAGTTTGCTAGCTCTATAGAATTCTATAGCGCCAAAATCTATAGATTCTATAGAAGTGTATAGAATTTTACAGATATTGTAAAATTCTAGAGAATCTGCCGATTTTGGAATCGATTGATAGAATCTATTGAATTTTACCAATACTATAGACTTCTATAGAGTTTGTATAATTTTACCGATTATATTGAATTTTTTTATTCCAGAATTTATAGAATATAGTTATGATTATATCCGCATATTGGTTACATAGACACACAGTTCTATAGAATTCTATAGAATTGACGGCATTCTATAAGGAAATGAAATCGCAACATGCCTAATATGGTCAATTGCTTGTTTTCTATAGAATCCTATAGCACTATACTATACCTTCTTTCTTGAGGCTATACGCGACCTGTGCGGAAGTCTATAGAATTTTCGGCTGAATGACAGAGTTACACGGAATAGCCAGATGTAAATTTCTATAACATTGTGTCTATAGAATCTATAGAAATTTACCAAATTCATCGCGTGATCAATTTATTCACCTTAAGAATGCTATAGACTGCGTGCGATGTCGGTATAGAATGCTATAGAAAGGCTATAGCATCTATAAGGTGTAACAAATGCGCATATATTTTGCCGCGAAGATGTGTCATTCAATTTCTAATCGAAATTTTCCTGCAAGTTATTTTTATATAATTCTATAGAATATTCTATAGAGAATTCCACATATGCTATTATTCTATAAAACAATTCTAACTCTTTGAGATAATAGTTTTAGGGAGAATCATGAAAGAACATCAACAGAAATGAAATCTATAGAATTTTCTATAGAATCCAATAGCATCTTCTATAGAAATACAGTTTTTTGAAAATTAATTTCATCGCAGGGGCTCTCTCACTGTCATCTCCTCAAGGAGAAACGAAAAATTGTCCTCATGAGTCTGCAACAGGCGTCCACTACACATACATAAAATAACCGTGATTTTTAATACGGAATAATACGGAATATCCGTGATCTTCCATCTCTCGGGACATTCTCCTCAGATCGACAATGTTGACTAAAAAAATTGCGAAACTGAATATTTATGAGGATCCTGTTTTCCTCGGTATTAATCCATGTTTATGCACGAGTCATGGATGACGTCGCCCCAATTTATCCCATGTCTGCTGAGGGAACGTACGCCGGGGTTATCCATATGCTGGCTTTGGGGGACAAATTGCAATCGTGAGTTGAGTAATCTTTTTGTTCTTGTTTTTTTAAAATAAAATTGCCTTCGGATATCCGTGGGGGGTAACGAATATGAATCTCCGAAATTATGGAGAAAATAAAATGGAAAATCCAGGCTGACGAATTTTCTTTTTCCGACGATATTTTCATTTCTAATGAGTGAATAGAGATATTTCATGATTTTTTTTCTTTTTTTCATTAGATAATTCATGTTAAATTGTTTGCAGAATTCAAGTAAAACTTTCAAAATGCTCAGATGACCTTGAATGACGTCACAAGTCCGGTCCGCCAACGCCATCTCTCGTTGAATTAGCGTTTTGAGAAATTAAATTTTTGATCATCGTTACCAAAAAAGTGTGTTCTAGAAGGAATTTAATTGTAATTATGATTAAAATCTTACTCAGTGAGCATAGGAATTAGAACATGAACAAATCATTTATTGAAATGTGAAAATTTATCAGCTGTATGATTCTCATCGGCCACATTGTTTTTTGCAATGAGAATGATTATAAACAATTAATTGAAAAAAGTAATATCGTATCTGCCAGGAAAAAGGGCATCAACACGCAACTTTTATTCTGCATTAAAAAATTTTTACGAAATATCCCTATTCACCGAACTAATGCTGGGGATGAAATAAAAAACAGCATTGCCACTTACGCAAAATAAATAAGTGACTCTCAACAGCGTCGTAGACTCAAAAAGACATCAGTCTCTCGTATTCTCGGTATGTCAATGGATTTCAAAGGGGTGTGGGATTGGTATTGTTGGATTGTGGAGATTCTTCTATTATTTAATTAACTTGTTATTATTATTTTTTTTGAGTCTCATACGATAATACCGAGCGTTACTCATAGGGTCGTAACGATGTGCGGTTTGGCAGTGGTTGAGGCAATCTCCGAGAGTCTCACGTCGATTGGAATACGATCGTCGTAGAGGGTTGGAGCTTGAAGAATGATACCAGCTGTACCTACTACAACCGCCAGTGTGAAGATCCAGAGGAAGAGGCGATCCAGCACCATGGCAACGTATTTCCAATCTTCTTTTACCTGATTTTCACACATAAATTGTCTCACGTCAAATGAATTCATGTGAACAAATCTTTGATCAACAGAAAAACGAGAGTTTTATTATTTTTTGCACATAAAAATTCCATAAGACGCCTATAGAAAATTTCTATAGAATCTCTACATACGTCTCTATAAAAATTCAATTGAACCCCTATAGACAATTCTAGAAAAATTTGCAGAACTTCTGTGGTCATTCTATAGAAAATCGTATCAAACGTCTATAGACGATTCTATAGAATCTCATATCGGATCGACGACTGGTCAATAGCGGGCCATTATTTTTTCATTTTTGCGTATAACAACGTCTATAGGAAAATTCTATAGAATCTCTATAGACGCCTATAAAAATCTCATAGAATGCATATAGACAAGTCTATAAAAATATATAGAAAATCATCAAACTTCTATAGGCGATTCTATAGAATCTCATATCGGATCGACGACTGGTCAATAGCGGGCCATTATTTTTTCATTTTTGCGTATAACAACGTCTATAGGAAAATTCTATAGAATTTCTATAGACGCCTCTAAAAATCTCATAGAACGCATATAGACAAGTCTATAAAAATATATAGCACTTCTATGGTCATTCTATAGAAAATCGTATCAAACGTCTATAGACGATTCTATAGAATCTCATATCGGATCGGCGACTGGTCAATAGCGGGCCATTATTTTTTCATTTTTGCGTATAACAACGTCTATAGGAAAATTCTATAGAATCTCTATAGACGCCTATAAAAATCTCATAGAACGCATATAGACAAGTCTATAAAAATATATCGAACTTCTATAGTCATTCTATAGAAAATCATCAAACTTCTATAGATGATTCTATAGAATCTCTTATATTGGACGTATGATACTATAGACAAACGTCTATAGTATCATACGTCTTTATATAGTATACATACGTCTCTATAAAAATTCAATTGAACCCCTATAGACAATTCTAGAAAAATTTGTAGAACTTCTATGGTCATTCTATAGAAAATCGTATCAAACGTCTATAGACGATTCTATAGAATCTCATATCGGATCGACGACTGGTCAATAGTGGGCCATTATTTTTTCATTTTTGCGTATAACAACGTCTATAGGAAAATTCTATAGAATTTCTATAGACGCCTCTAAAAATCTCATAGAACGCATATAGACAAGTCTATAAAAATATATAGAACTTCTATGGTCATTCTATAGAAAATCATCAAACTTCTATAGACGATTCTATAGAATCTCTTATATTGGATCGACCGCTGGTCAATAGTAGAAAATGATTTCTTCGTTTTTTGTGTATAAAAAAGGTGTCTATAGAAAAATTCTATAAAATCTATAGACGCTTCTTTCAAAATGTAATTGAAATCCTATAGAGTATCCTATAGACTATAGACAATTCTATAGAAAATCATATAGACCATTATATAGATTCTTCTATAGGCAATTCCGTCAATAATTCTATAAATAATTTCAAAGCTGATTATATAGATAATTCTATAGGTGCTATAGATAATTCTATAGGGTATTCCATAGAAGAAACTATAGAAGTTCTGCTATCAGATAATTTTATCGTAGAACCATTATAACTGTGAAAAAATAACTTACCCTAGTGGAGTCTTCCTCTCGTTTCGTATGATCAGCTATAAACCTGATGGCTTCGATTGCCTTGTACAGCTCTGGGCAGTGATGCCAATTATTGAGAGTTTTACAAAGTGCATCAACACTGTCCTCAGTGGGCAGTTGAGGTGCTGGGACTGGCGCTGGTCCCGGTGAGCCGTGAATTTGACAGGCACTACCAAGATTAACAGCTTCCAACTCACTGAAAAAAAATAGGAAGTGACTTCGAAGAAACACATTCAAGAATTCAAGAAATTCAATTCAAGAAATCAAGAATTTCAGAGTAGCAGCCCAGGACACACGGGACTTTAGCGATCATCAAAGTTAAGCAGCTTCGAGCGCGGTTAGTAACTGGATGGGTGACCGGGATGGAACACCAGAACCGTGGAAGCAATTTTTTTTTCAATGCGGGTTTAGGGAGAGTATAAATCAACTATACAAACTGAATTTGATCGTCCTCCATCAATAATTAACCATAAAAAAAATAATTTTCTATTCGAAAAAATAACCTCATATTAACCGGATCAGGCCCTGAGGCGAGACGTACATCAGGTTCGGAGTCAGTGAACGTGATCGGGCCCTGTTCTACCAATGCGTTTCATGCCTGATACGGGCCGAGCATGACGAGGCTTTGATAGCCAGATATGGCCCGAACTTCTCAGATCAGGCAACTTTATCCGGACCTGATTAGACCCGTTCACGATTTTCTAGTCGGATCCATGCGCAGTGCTCGACTGCGCAACTTCCGTTGGGTTTTTTGTGACATGTGAAATTCAAAGACAATTAGAATTTAGAGAGAAAAAATCCCGCAGCGCCCGGCCGGGATTCGAACCCGGGACCTCTCAGTTACGCGTCGGTTACTCTTCCAATTGAGCTACCGGAATCTACGGAAATTCTCTCTCTCCAAATTCGCCTCACAACACCGTCTATCCTCCTTTAGACATTAAATAAATTCAAGGAAAATTCGCCGATTACATGTCAAGAAATTTCTCTCTCAACCAACTCGTTCCTGAGATAATCGCAAAATAACCAGATCAGTTTCACAACTAATCTTGTTTCATCCCTTCGCCTCAACGTGTTTTTACTCACTGTAAATTCAACTCATCCCTGGAGTCTACACTTGGAAAGAGCACCGAGGACTCGACGAGTTCCGAGGCAGATGCCTCGACAAACAACGAAGGATCCCGCACCTCTAGTCCATTGCACGTTCTCACCATGACACGTTGGCTTGGATGATGTCCATCCAAACTTCGTCTGTCAATGTTGTACTGCGGCCTGCGCATTACTAGTAATCTTGGCAATACGTGGATAAATACACGACGAACCCATGGGGCCATTACGTGAGTCTGGGGCGAACGAAAGTGGACGTTGAGGACAACTACTGTGACACATATACTGTAATAGAACAATTTTTTTGCTGAGTTTAGCGATACTTTTCTATAGAAATTCGGGATGAATTGAAGAGATTGGTGGATTGTATGGGGACTTCTATAGGATTTTTCTGACAGTGAATTTCGATATCGCTTAGAGAAAATTTGACGATAAATGACTCAGAAAGAAATCTATAGAATTCTATAGAATTGTACTACGATCAAACTGAATTCAATAGAGTATAATGGAAGTCTAGAGATTTTTTTCAACTAAAAGTCATAATTTAATTGGGCTATAGAATTTTCTATAGAACTTCAATCGAATTTTCGGTATGATATTCTATAGAAAAACTATATCTCAGAAATAGAATTTGTTTATAGACGATTCATCTGGATGTCTATAAGATTCTATAGGATTCTGTAGGATTCCATAGGATTCTATAGGATTATATAATTTATGATTCTATAAAATGATATAAAATTTTAGAACTACAATTATTCTATAGGATTCTATAAGATTCTATAGATTTTGCTGCCGTAAATTCTATAGGAAATCTTGAAGATCTGCAATGCTGATGAAATCTGTAAAGGATTATAGAACTCCAGAATTTTTTTTAACCCAAAATTTATAATGGAATTATGCTATAGAATTTTCTACGGAATCATGTATGCTGGAAATGGAAATATTAGTGGGAATTGCTATAAGACTCTGCAGAATTCCACAAATAATTACACAGATCTTGTGATTCTATAGGATTTCTCCGAATTTCTATAGAATGCCAATCAAACATATATTCTATAGAAAACCGATTCAGAACAAAGAGAATTTGTTTATAGCTGATTCATTGGAAAAATATATCCAGTAGGATTCTATAGGAAATTTTATAGACCTTCTATTCTATAGATTCTTCTACCCGATGCATAATAGGAAGATCACGGGTTCAACCCCCGGTCTAGATAATTCATTTTTTTCAGTGAAAATTTTCTGGAGATTCATAATGAGAATAATCCCGGTTTTTCTATAGATCCTCCTGTACATAATAATATGATGATTATATAGATTCTATAGAAGAATCTATAGATTAGATTCTAGAGTACATTCTATAGACGAATCTATAGAATAGAATCGATAGAATATAGATTCCTCTAAATTCTATAAAATCTATACTACTGATGAACAATTCTATAGAGTTTCTATAGAATTTTTCCATTGCTCTTACCTGAACGTGTCAAGAATCATGGTGAACAGCACAAATTTACCGAGCAGTGGTACCACCAGCGATGTGGGTGGAATGATCTCGGCTAAGAGGAGGAAGAACACAGTCAGTGACAGGAGAATGGAAATCGAAAGACTGACCTGGAACCCAAGAGCGAAAAAAAAAATAAACAGTGAAAAAAATCTCATCACCGTTTTCGCGGACTATCTCGAAAACGACTAGTTTTACGAGAAAACATAACAGGACTTTTTTTATAGCTTATGAAATTCTCCGTAAAAAATCCTTGCTTCATTTTCCTCTCATATTGATAACTACCGAGATAATACCGTAATTAAGGGAAGAAGTTTTTCATTCTTAGTTTTTTAAAATTATATTTTGCTTTTCTTGTTAATTCTAGGGGTGAATGGAATAGCCCGGGGGTATATGCATATTCGATCATTCGACTTGGCTCGAGGCACTTGGTACTGAGGTTGAGGGGTGGGGAGGGCATTGTGGTGTGTCTTGCATTGATATACGATCTTAACCCCGGAAACGATCAAGATCCATATGGAGGACGGAGCATCGATGATTGGGGTTGTGAGCGTTTCGGGGGTCAGGATATTTGCCTGGGAATAGTCAATGATATTCCATTATTGGGTTTGAAATTTCCGGGGCAATTCCAGTGGCTAAATTAAATTAAGTCATCGAATTCAATTTCACCGAATTCTATTAAGAATAAATGTTGAATCATCTTGATAATCATTGAGACATTGTTATGTCCGGCGATGTGGTGAGCGTCGGAGGACAACTTTCTATATTTTAATACTCTCGAAAAATAGTTGTAGAATTATCAATAAAAGAATCAAGAAAAAATCTTAATGATTAAGTTTTATCTCTTTTGCTTTTTATTATGAGCACGACGCTATACAGTCCTTTTCAGGCGTAAAAAGTAATCCCGTTTAACCTGTCTATTACCGTCTAACCTCCTTTAGGGATCGTCTTGTATAAAAAGGAAATATCACACATTTATTCCTGAATGTTCTGAAAGAGAAATCGCATGCATGATGATGATACTGATTGTGTTTTTGATGTTAATGATATTGACGATGCTCAATTTCGACGTATCTCCGACCGATTCTGGATGGAAAGTTCCATCCCTTTTCAATAAAAAAAAAAATTCATGGATTTTCAAAATAGTTACGGGCCGAGTGGCACATACTATTTTTTGTCATGAATGCCCGGGGGGTGTGGGGGGGGGG